GGTAGCGAGAACAACGCCCGCGTGCAGGAGCGCATCGAAGCTATGGGCGGGAATAAGATAGGGGGATGGTCGAGGTGCGCGTCGTACATTTGGCACAACGAGCTGGAGGAGGCGGAGCGGTCCGAGTGGGTAAAAAAAGCGGAGGAGCTGAGCGTGCCTGACGATGAGCAATGTTACATGTGCGTTGGGCTGCCCATCTGCTGGTTGAGTGTACGCTAATCCCGGATTGCAGCAATCAGCTCAGCGTCACAAAGCTGCTTGTTAGCTTGCTGACTGACCTAATCGGCATAGGGCCCTCCAAAATAGGCAAGGCGTGCTTCGCGGTGCGCTTGGCTTACAGGGCCCCTGATGGGCAGCTCATCTATGAAGAGTGAGTCCATCTGGTGAGGAGATGTCCTTCCCATTGACAGGACGCAATTCAGTTTTTCGTTGACCGAGGATGAGAAAGCGATCATGTTCGCCCACTTCGACGGCGGTGCTTCACCGGAAGAGGATGAACGGTGGATGAAATGGGTATCCACAGTTGTAGGTAAGCAAACACGTCCTTAGGACATGTCCTTGTGCTCAGCAGACATGGAAGGCGTCAATCCGAAGGCCCGTGAACGGGAGGTGGATTACGACAAGGAGGGCGCTGTGCGTTTGCGCAAGTGGACGGGAAGTGAGGATGTCCTCTGGATGAAGCGCGCGTTACGCGCCTACTTCAAGGAAGTGTGGGGTGAGTGGTGTCCCCTGGTCTACCCAAGTTGGGCTGAACGTAACAACATATGTAGCTGAAAGCGGGAATGAGCCGGACGCTTTCGCAATGGAGGATGTGATTCGCTCCCCGACGTCCTTTGTGGACGGGGATTGGGTAGACATGTTCAAGTCCGACCCTTTCCAATTGGAACCTGCCGATCTGGTGCAGATATACCATCGACTATGGAAAGCCCAGGAAACTGGCCCTCGCTTTGGGTTCAAGAAGGTCGACGACACCGAGGGGCAAGTTCCGCTCCCATCAACGCCAAGTTCCGAACTGCCCGGGCCGAGCGAGTTGGATAACGTGGTAGATACCCCAGGGCAAGAGTCACATGATGGCCCTGGATCCCAAACGGGCATGCGGGCGCATAACGACACCTCTCTACCCCACGATTATGAGACGTCGGTCGCCGGTAGCGCCTCTGTGCCAGAGGCGGATGCTCCAGAACAGAACACACCTTCTATCCAAGAAGCGCAGCACGCAGAGCCTGGTTCAAACGCCCCGCGGAATTCGGATCCGCGGCACGCCCCTGGGGCGCAGTTCCCCCCCAGCATAGTCCCGCCAGCAACTGTGACTCCACACCGCACGTCGTCTGTTCCCCCAGAGCCAGCTCCCACGCGCCCAGCGTACGCACGGGCGGGCTCCACTCCCGCGACGTTGGAGCGTGCCTCCCATGGCGAACCCCGCGTACCGTACACTCCCAGAAGCCGGCGCACGTGGGAGGTGCTTAGATCGCCTGCTAGGAGCAAGGTGGGAGGGAGGGATTCCCCCAACGTGCAGGTGAAACCTGCCAGTGTCCTTCCGCCCTTGTTCCCCATCCACGAGGAGGACGCTGGATACAGGTCGCAGGAGGAGTTGCCCGCAAGTGTGACGTCAACCCCTTGCACGTTGCCGTCGGTCGTGGATCGCGAGACGTTTATGCCAGCATCCAGTGATTTCGAAACTTTTCCCGATGAGCGATCAGGGGAGGTGTCGCAACCTGACCTTGACGTGCACATGGGCGAAGTGTCGCAGCCTGTCCTCAACGTAGGCGTGGGCGAGCCTCCACTGCAAGAGCATCCACCTGCAGAGAGCGCTCAGGTCGAAGTGGGAAAGGGCGGTGAGGAGATGACAGACGAACGGGGGGGAGATGGGGCACAGGCTCCTGGGCAGAAGAAGAGGGGCCGTCCCAAGGCTAACGTTGCACCATCGACGAGAGTACTGCGGGGGCGCTCTCAAGGCAACCCGGACACTGATGCCACGGCGACGGTGGATGTGGGGAGCGTCCCTCCACCCAAGAAGAGGAAAAGCGTCGCAGAGTAAGTGCTGTGCTATACGTGGTGGATGAACTATACTAATCTGTAGCTTGTGTCGTAGCGGGGCGTTGAGCGGTGGGAGTGGTGCTACCCAGGCCATGGAGACCCATGGGACAGAGATTGGAGGGACGGAGACCCAGGGGACAGGCAACCACGAGGCCATGGGTGGTACTTCCCGGCGCGGCGGTAAGAGGTCGGGACGCGGAAGGAAGCCCAAGAAGGCGTAGTGTCCCTACACGTTGGCTTGGACTTCTCAAATATTT